CCAGTTACCACACGACAAGGCTCACAGCCCAGTAGTCAGCAGACCTCACTTGTGGCTAGATCTGGGCAGAGGACGGAGGCGATGTCATTAGAGCTTCACGTTATTTCATCCAGTTAACCCAGAGTTAATTAGTATTTGCCAAGTGCTTTGAAGATGAGGAGTGCTATTTATTCACAGGACCTGACGCCTGCTGGAGTGAAGTGGCAAGCCAACAGAGGCTGTGGAAAGAGCCGGAGCCCCGGCCTCGAAGGAGAAGACGGGGCAGTGGTTCCCACCTCTGACCTGTGCTGAGGCTATTATGAGACATTGGTGCAAGGACCTGTCTGGTCTCCAGGGGCCTGTGAGTTTCCACCCTTGCTCCTTCTGTCCTCAGCACGGGAAACTGGGAGTGACTGGAAGGTTCAAAGGCTTCTGGAAGGCTGGTGGAGGGAGGTGGGCAGAAGACTGTAGAGGGGATTGTTGTAATAGCTCTTCTTCCATGAACGGGTTTTCTTCTAGAAAGGCCTTGCACACATCTCAGCCCCTCTCTGAGCAATAAGGGGGCTGGACTAGGTGGCCCCCCAGCCTGCCTTCACTCAGTTCCAGATATTGGAGGAGAAAGATCAGGCCCCAGAAGGCTGTTGGGCAAGGCCTGCCCCATTTCTAGGCAGTCCCAGGCCAACTTGGATCGTTGCAGCTTGGTTTCTGGAGGATTCCTTTGGCCCTGGATCATGAGTGTTTTCTCCTTGTTGCTGAGTTCACATGCCAGTGACCTGCCACAGCACTGGCCTCCTCTGACTAACCCCCAAGGTGGCTTCTTCCTTGTCTTCGTTCCCTTCCTTCAACTCAGTTCAATGAAGCCCTCCTGGTGGGGTGAGGTGAGGCAGGCCGAGAGGCCCAAGCCGGGGTGGACACCGCAGAAGTCACAGACAGGTTTGGACCCAGGCCCCACCTCTGAGGAGCCCTTTGCCTACTGGGAGGTAGGTACGCGAGGCAGACATCTCAGGCTCCTGTGAGTGGTAGAGGAAGCTCGGGGCAGGCACGGTGGGTGCCCGGAGGAGGAGACACTGGGAAATTCACCTGGCCTGGCTGCCAGCCCAGGAAAGACTTGTAGGAGTCAGACAGGCAAAGAGGGCTGAAGGCATTCCAGGGAGAGGCCCTGCCCGTGGCCCTCAGCAACGGGAACTGGCTTTGGAGAAGGGAGCAATCAGTCCATCATGCCTAGGGACAGGGACCTCAGGAGCCCTTGGTTCTTTGGTGGCATGGGGGTGAGTGCCCTTGGGGCCTTGGCTCTGGGCCCTGCCTGTCTTACAGGCCCAGTCTCAGTGCCACCCAGGCCCCAAACGGACAAAAGGGTACGTGCAAAGCTGAGTTCCCCTCTCCTGGGACCCAAGGCCCACCCAGATCAGGCTGGTCTGAGGCCTCAGTCCCAGGATGTGAAGCCTCAGTGCTGCGCTCGGATGCAGGGCTGGGCCAAGGCCTTTCTGCCCCCACCCTGCCGACCCCCACCCCCGCCGCCCCACTTCTTAGCACTGCAGAAGCCGGCACCATCCTTGTAGTGACTTCTGGAGGCCAGAGGCTGCTTTTGGCACCTCAGACATCCCGTACCTCTGGGCCAGGAGCTTTGGAGGGACTCCCACAGGACAGGTTTCACAATCAACAGTTGGTGCCAAACTAGCGCAGAGAGTGATGGGAAGAATATTTTGCAGACAAGGCTGCTGGGAGCCAGCACTATTTGCTGGAGGCCCTGGGCCTCCAGGCAGAGCAGGGTCCTGACAAGGCCGGTTGGGGTACTGCGTGGCAGCCCTGCGGCCCTGTACCCGGGAGATGGCCACTCCCAGCCAGCTTGGAGGGGCTGCCCCACCCTGGCTTCATGGCAATTGAACCTGTTAGGACTTGCCTGCCCTTTTGCCCCCTGACCAGCCGGGGCCTGCTCAGCACTCGCCTCCACCTGCCTGCACCTCCCCAGTGACCAGGGTTCCGGCTCAGCTCTCTCGGTCCCCCACCACCTATGCTACTTCTACCTCACTATCATGTACCCTGATTCTGACAGGACCTTCTGGGAGAGCCAGCCAGTTCCCCAAGTCTGACACATTCTCATCGCTCTGGCCTCCCCGTACAGGCACAGAGTGGCCTCTCCAGATGCCACCATGATGGAAGACAGGCTGCGGCACAGGACAAAGGCTGAGAGGTCTTCTCCCTCTCCCCTCCTTTTTTTCCCTACCCAAGTCACCTAGAAAGTTCTCTGGGGCATTCTCTGGACTGAAGGAGCTGAAGTGAACGAACCTCCTGGGGCTGAGCTGGTGAGAGGTAGTGCTGTTCCTAACTACGCACTTGTGACCTTGGAGCCCCTCATGTTGGAGACCCCCCAATCAGAGCCCGCGGCCCGAATGCCTTTCACACCATGGGCACCCTGGAGGCATTGGGCTGCTGGAATCTAGCTGGGTAATGTGGGCTGCAAGGCCTGCATCTGAGCCCTGCTTCCAGCCCTGCTGGACTAAGCCCCGCGCCCTGGACAGCGGCTTCTTCTCTCTGGGGCTCCCCCTGCTGGTCGATGTGGGGTTGGCAGGGCTCTTCTCTAAAAGCCCTTGGGTCACGTCCCACTTTCTGGGCACCTTCCCTGGAGCAGGCACTTCTGGGGCAGAGACATGAATAAACCACAGACACCCTTGCCGGTAAGGAGCTAGCGGCTAGCAGCAGAGCTGGGAAGATAAGCCAACAGGCACCGTAAGACTGAGGAAGTGTTTGACAGAGGGCGGGCCAGGCCTAGCAGAAGCCAGAGGAGGGCGCCCTGGGGTGGGGGGGGAAGGCTGCAGGGAGGAAATGATGCTTGAGGTGGGTGTGAAGGACAGGCGGCTGCGGGCCCAGCAGGAACAGAGGCCCGAGGCCTAGCTGCCCGTCGGAGCTGGGGAGGGGCGAGGGAAGGAAGGGCGCTAGTGTGGGCACCGCGCTTCCCCAACGGGGCTGGGTGGAGGCCGGGAGAAGACGCGGGGGGAAGCCGAGGGAGAGCTTTCTGCCATTGAGGGCTGTCTCACACAGAAAACCAAGACTGCTAGGTGAGAGAGTGGCGTCACGGGGGTTGGTGTCAGTCACCGCCCCGTGGGCGGGGCCGGCCGGCGAACCCCACCCCGTGGGGGGAGTGGCCCGGCCCGGCCCCGCCCCTGGCAGGCCGCGTGGGCGCCGTAAAGCGAGGCCCCGCCCCGCCCGGCCCACGGCTCCGCACAGACTCTCCTCTCTGCCCAACGACCGTCCACCTGCACCCTGACTGGCGGGTGACTGAGGTGGGGGTGTGGGGGAGTGTAACAGTTACTGCAGTGACGGGTGACACCAACCCTAGTGACGTCACTGCCTTGGCGGCCCCGCCCCCAGCCGCTGCTGCCGCGGACACTGGGAATCATTTTGGTGTCACCCTCTCTGACAGTGTCAGCCCCATACTCCCCTAGCGACGCCACTGGTGAGAGGGAGCCTAGAACTCATTGTCAGTTGATGCTCACCCGGAGCCTGGAGGCCACATCAACTTCTGCCCGGCTGCGAAGCTGGCCTCCGCGTGGGTTCCAGTCCTTTTCTGCTTTGGAATCACAGACATCTCATGGGTAGCAGCTGGCCACAGCACACCTTGGCCCTGGAATATCCACAGGCGGGCTGCCGGTGCGGCCCACGAGCCCCACGCTGGGCCCTCCCTCCAAAGCAGGCTTCCCCTCAGCTGATGAAAGCTATGTGCCTCTACCTGTAAAAAAGGCTGCCTGCAATTCCTGGAGTTCAAGGACTCCCTGAACCCACACATGAACGCCAGCTGTGGAACGCTGCTGCTCCGGTCCCCACTCCTAGGTGGTTTCGTGTGGCTGCTGCTGTTACTCTAGGGTCCCGCCTGGCAGATAGTAACCCATTTCCTGAGCACCTACTTTGGGCGGATAGGACACAGCTCGCTCCGGCCTCAGGGAGCATGCCCTTGGGGCTGGGGCCGCCGGATTCTGTGGGTAGAGCTGCATCGTCTCAGGGGGCTTCTGCCCAAACTCCAAGCAGATAAAGGAGTCCCCTGCCCCGCCCTCTTAGGCACTGGTCTGCACATCACCACAGAAAACAACAGAATTCTGCTGATGAGGAATGTGTACACGCAGGAATGTTTCATGAGAAGCAGGTGGGCACACCCACAGGACAGAGGATTTGGAAGTAGTAAGGTCGCCTATGAGTAGAAATCAAGTTGACGGCAACGGGTTTTTTAGGAAACCCTGGTGGCAGAGTGGTTAAGAGCCACGAGCTACAGCTGCTAACCAAAAGGTTGGCAGTTCGAATCCACCAGGCGCTCCTTGGAAACCCTATGGGGCAATTCTGCTCTGTCCTGCAGAGTCACTGTGAGTCAGAATCGACTCAGCGGCAATTGGTTTGGTTTTCTGGGTAAGGAAGTTTACCTCTCTGGGATGGGGGAAGGGTTGCAGTCACTTAAGCTTGTAATTTTCACAAGGCCGTTTAGAATCTGTGTATCTATGAAACATTCATTTCAAGTCTCACCCATGTGTTCATAGCTTCTGCTTTTCTTCTAGGATATTTTTAATACGTGGTTCCTTGAACAGAATCTAGAGGCTTCTACTCTAGTATTGGTTTGGATGAAAATAAATCTTGCTGCCAGCCTCAGTTAGCAATGGGATGTCTCCCTTACAGTGTATTACCCCCTCAATTTTGTACAAGGACACTGGGACTACAGGGGCGACCTCAAAGGTGATCTTTATGCTAAGGGACCTGGGAGACAGAGAGAGGAAAAGGGAGGGAGGGAGGGAGACAGAGAGAGAGGACGAGAGGGAGAGACGGAGGGAGGGGCAGAGAGGACAGAAAGCAGTAGAATATGAAGCTGTGACTTGGAGGAATCCAGATGCAATCAAATAAAGGAAGCAGTGTCAGCTTGTTTGTGCCACCCTCGCGGTCACAGAAGGGGCCACTGTACTCTCAGCTACCTAGCAGGAGCCCTAAGCTCAGATGAGCCGTGTGTGAAGACGGAGACTGGAGCTGCTTCCTGCCCCCAGGGGATAGTGACGGGCCAGGGGCCTCAGTGGACCCTCCGCAGGTGTCGAAAGCTCTGCACAGTTCTCTCCACAGCCTTGTCCATGGGGACCAGAGGCTGGTAGCCCAGGACGCTTTTGGCTCTCTCGCAGCTGTAGTAGTGGTGCGTGCCGGCCAGCGCGATGCGCATGGGTGTGAAGGTGGGCCGCAGCACGAGCACCGGCCGGACCACCATCACCAGCAGGGCCAGCAGCAGGGCCAAGTAGTAGGCCAGCCAGTAGGGGATGTGGTACTTGGGGGCCTCGTAGTTGAGACCCGTCAGGATGCGGGACAGGAATGTCCAGAAAGGGATGGGCTCATCATTGGTGATATGAAAGGCCTGCCGAGAGAAGGAGAAGTGAGCAACACCTCCCAGCCAGAGGGACGAGCGGCCCACACCAGGGAACCTGAAGCTCAGGCCACAACTACCATTTCAGGAAGCCAGCAGCCACTCCTGGGCTGCCTGCTGGCCCAGCTCTCCCGTGGACAGCCCCACAGGCGGGTGTGTAGAAGTGCATGCAGTGTGCGTAGGCACAGGCGTAACTGACCACCGCGCCTTTCCTGCGGTCTGTCTGCAAATGGCAGACGGCAGCAGAGACGCCTTTAGGATCTGTCGATCTGGACAGCATGAGGGGTAGAGGGAGAGTGAGGAAAGCCTTATCTAGAGGCCAGGGGTTTCAGTGACATTCAGACCGCAGTCAGGAAGGCCAGTGTGTAAACTGAACAACAACGGTGACAAGGACAACTCAGCTTGCGCCCCGAAATTACAAGAGGAGAACAAAACAAGAACTGAGCAGTGAGCCCCAGGAAGACAGGGCCCCAGGACCGAGAGGAGAGGGCAGGGGCACCTTCCACCCCCTCGGGCCCACCCAGCTGCAGAGTCAGCAGCCATCCCCGCCATGCTCTGCCCACCAGATACCCGAGCACGGAGCTTCAGATGCAGGCACCCCTCCGGGGGGCAGAAAGGATCGATCATGGCGGGCGACGGATGAGAAACAAAGGCTTCAGGAACCAGTGGCAGAAGGGGCAAGTGGCAAGCACCCCACCCAAGGGATGTCACCCTACGGAGCACTGTCTCCTGACCTCTGCTCAGCATCAGTGCGTCGTACACTGGCTCGTGGCTGCCCCGGGGGTGAGGATAAGTCTCCCACTGGAAGGGCTCGCCCTTGGTGCAAGGTGAGTCAGAAGCTGAGCTGCCAGAACGTATGATCACGGCAGCAATTGGTCAACCGATCCCCTGTCAGTGAGAATGAAGTGGAAGGCAGGGGGTGGGCCTCACCTTCCCACACACGGCCGAGTCTTGGGAGAGGCGCTCTGCTGCCAAGATGTGGCCATGGACCACGTTCTCCACGAAGGTGAAGTCCACCAAGTTCTCTCCGTTTCTGCAGGCACAGAAGAAAAGGCTCAATTCTCACTTGGGAGTGTTGGCTGTATGCTCGTGGAGCCCCCACAGGGCTCAGACAGCTGCCTTGGCTGAGCCACATCCTGGGATGCTGGGACGCTGAAGGATGTGCTGGGGCCCTTGGGCAGTGAGCTGGTTAAAGGCCAGCGATGGAGCCACTGCTGGTGTCTGCTCTCCCTCCTAGGATACGCAGGCCTTGCTCTGGCCTCACACTTTCCTACCTGTCTCTTTCTAATCCCTCAACGCTGCGAGCCCTGATACACAGAGAGGTAAGACAGGCCAGCAGGGAGGCTGAGCACGAGGCAGGGCGGTGAGGCGCTGGGAGAAGAGGGGAAGAAAGGGAGAAGAGAGAAGAAATGAAGGGTGGGGAGGTGTACCTGGGAGACAGCCACCACCACCTCCATCTGCCACACTGTTACCACCCACGGAGGCCCCTCTGCCCATGCTTGCCACGAGGAGGCACGGGAACGCACCCGCCCGCCGTCTGAGGCACAATGAGGGAGGCCTTGACCCTGGGCCTCGCTTCCCCTCTGACCCTCAGGTTCCTCAGTTACCGAACAGCCTACCTGAGGGTGCGCTGGGCTGACTATTGCCCTCCCCCACAATTCGTGTCCACCTGGAACCTGTGAACACAGCCTTGCTTTGAAATAGGGTCTTTGTAGACAGATGTAATCAGGTAAGATGAGGTGATAGTGGAGTAGGTGGGCCCTGATCCAGTGACTGGTGTCCTTCTAAGAAGGCCACGTGGAGACACAGAGACAGACCCACACGCCGGGGAGACAGCCGTGTGACCATACAGGCAAGAGCACAGGGCTGCGTCGACATGCCACGGGACGCCAAGGGACGCCAGGGAGCACCAGAGGCTGGAAGAAGCAAGGAGGGATCTGCCCCTGGCACCTTCGCAGAGTGTGTGGCCGCGCCGACACCCTCAGTTCAGACATCTGGCCTCCAGAACTGTGAGAGAATACATGTCTGCTGTTTTAAGCCCCCAGTGTGTGGTCACTCGTTACGGCTGCCCCAAGAGATGAACCCAGGGGGCAACTGTGAAGGTCACACAGGGAAACGGTTGCAAAACAGCCTGGCTACTGACGCCTGGGAGTGAGCAAGTGACCCTGTCCTAGCCCAACAGCTGGGGGGCGGGTAGGTGGCATGTGGGCCGACTCACCCAATCACAAACTTCATCTTGCCCTTCCTGGCGGCCTCGATGAGGATGGGGAGCATCTGGGGGTCCCTGGGGCCGAAGATGCCATGAGGGCGGATGGCCACGGTTAAGAAATTTTTCTCTGGATCATTGGCGCCCAGGACTGCCTGTAGGAGACCGAGAAAAGGGGAGTGTACAGAGCAGAGCTGTCTGGTCACAGGAAGTGATCCCTAAGTGTTAGCTCTCCTTGGATGATTTTTTACATTTCATTTCATCCACAGTGGTTACTTCCCAAGTTAGGCACTTAGGTCTGTGAGTCCTGACCTCATCTGGTCATCACCCTTTCTCTTACCAATGTAAACCCTGCAGCTGTTCATGGACCTCGCCTGGTACTCAGTCCGGCAGGTCCAAGGGACATACCCGCTCCTGTAAGATCTTGGTCTCCGTGTAGTAGTCGATGGGTTTCATGGCATAAGGGAGGTCCTCAGTCCCGTTCTTGATGTCGACACCCTCAAAGATGACACTGGCACTGCTGGTTAAAATGAGTTTCTGGTGGAGTAGAAAGAAAGGTTAAAAAAAAAAAAAAAAAAAAAAAACCTCAACAATGACAAGCCAGGAATGATCACTATTGAAACAGCCTGATGGCGACGGAGGAAAGAGGATCAGCGGCCTCTGTTCGCCACCCACGTGGACAAGGCACTGTGCAAATTAGCTGCTGCAGTGACTTTGCTTCTTGTGTCTTCTTAAATCATCCAAAGATCAGCCACTATCTTCAGCAACTGCGTGGATTTCAGACACATTATGGCATGATCTTCTAGAACAGTGGGGCTCACGCCTATCCCAACACACCCGAGGGATACAAACGACTGCCGTCATTAATGGTATCTCACTACGGGAGTGATTCTCCAGGGGCGAGGAAAGCCCAGAAACTTCTAGGGAGATGTCGGTTTGAAAAAGACCATTAGTGATTCTGATACCAACCTTGCATGTGAACACATGTGCGTGTATGAGCACACACACACACACACACACACACTCACATGCACACATACACGCATGGACACACTCACGTGCACACGTGTGTACCACCACTTGAGAAATGCTATTCTTCAGGAAGATACTTCCTGACAAGGCTGCCCAGCTTCTAGCTCCCTGGTTCAGGGCGGCTCATCCAACACTGAATACCATTAGCTCAAATCACATCTTTACCATTTTTATTCCACACAGTACTGGGGGTTCTAGCTAGAGTGATACAATAAGACAAAAAGATATAACGAATTGAAAAGAAGAAATAAAATTGTCATCATTCCCAGATGACAGAAATATCTGTATAGAACACACAGCCACATATACAGAAAAAATTAAGAGTTCGACAAAGTTCCTGAATACAAAATCAATACATCAGTTATCTGTGTTCTGATGCATTAGCAACAATTAGAAATGTGATATAAAAGGTATTATTTACATAGCAACCAAAAATAAGGCCCATAGGAATAACTTTAACAAGAGATGTGTAAATCTTTATGAAGTGTAAAACTCTATGGAAAGGCATTAAAGAGAGGGAAATAAATGGAGAGACATCCCCTATTTATGGACCAGAAGACTCGATAATGGGAAGATGTCACTTCTCTCCAAAATAACCTATAAGTTCAATGCAATTACATGAACAATCCCAACAGGCTTTATCAAGGAACTTGACAAGTGGCTTCTAAAATATTATGAAAAAGCAAAGGACTAAGTCTCTGGCTGGTGCAAATGGTTAACATGCTTGGCTGCTTGCCAAAAGGCTGGCGGTTTGAGTCCACCCAGAGGTGCCTCAGAAGAATAGCCTGGTGATCTACTTCCATGGGAGCACAGTTCTACTCTGATTCCATGGCAGGGGGTTGGCATTATTGTGAGGGTTCCTGTGAAGGGCTCAGAGCCCAGAAGAGCTCTCTGACAGCTCTTCTTGCTGTTGGTTGTTGGGGCTGGCCCACAGTACCAAGGAGGATGCTGGGAGAGAAACTCCCTGGCTCATTTTGGCCTCTTCTCTCACGCACAGAGCATCTGTGGTGTATGCCACTGTGAGGTGTCAGTGCTGGGCTGGTAGGTAACACCCTGTAAAGGTGACCCTGAAAACCAGCGTTTATAAGCATGGGTGAGACTCACCCTCCCCTCCCAGGTCTGAGTTCTAACAGGTTTCTGTGGGCTAAAGTCAACAGTTTGTTTTCGTTTTAATATATAAGCAAGGTCTGTATTTTATAGCTCTTTAACCAGACTATTAGGTCTGAGGGTCTCAGACGGTCTAAAAGTAAGAATGACCAATGTGTATGCAGTTACAATATTACAGCTCCAGCCGGCCCTGGCAATGTCAGCAATGCCTCTGCTTTCTTCCTCTGAACTGATGAGGTGACAGGAGGGGCACCCCAGCCTCCGCACCCACCTTGGCAGCTGCACCGCAGCAGGGGCCCCGCACGCTCTGCCTGGCTTCCCCTTACCTGAACCCCAGCCTCTTTGCAAGTTTCAATGACATTCTTGGTGCCAATGTAATTCACTCTATAAAAGAGCTCCCTGTTGTCACTGGATGGTGGGGGTGACGCACAGTGAAAAACTGTGCTCACACCTTTCAGGGCTGGGTACAGATCCTGGGAACGCAAACAAAGACAAAAACAATCACTCCTGCTTCAGACAGGTAAACAGCCTCCTCACGTTCCCAGCCCCCAAGCCGTGGCTCCCAGGTCTCCGCCCTTTGAGAAGTACACAATTAACACAGAGATACACTCGTGCTGCAAAAGAATCAATGCCCGTTTACCCCTTCAACTGCCCCTCCCATTACTGGGTCCCCAATACAAACTGGCTCGGGGTGGGAGCAGCCTGTGGGATCCAGAGGGCACCAGGGAGGGCAAACTCCTGGGAAGATGAGCTTATAGACAAACACGCTGAATCACACTATCAAAGACAGTACAAATAGCCAACACACAGAGTATTCGGTCCTGTGAAACTAGACGTGACACGGCAACCTGAAGGGGATTTAAAACAGGGCAGCTTAACGTCCCAAGCCCCGCCCTGGCACATGTGCCCTTGTTTGGGGAAATCGGGTTTTTCCTTGCAGTTCAGTGAAGGAGTCATTCTAGGGTAGGGTGGGTTCTAAGCCCTCTGAGTGGCATCTTATAAAAGGGAAGAAGAGACACGGGGACAGGTCACCCAGGGGTGAGACACATGTCATGTCAAAACTCATCTATAGGCAGCAAAGGAGCAGCAAGGATTGCTGGCAGTCACCAGAAGCCGGAAGAGAGGCCTGGCACACTTCCTCTCTCAGAACCCGCCAAAGGAACTGACATGGCTGAGACCCTGAATTTGGACTTCCAGCCTCCAGAACTGTGAGGGGCAAAGTTGTCCCTTCAGGCCACTTTGTCGTATATTATGGAGGCCCTAGGAAACCAAGGCAGACAGAAACGTTGTTGGCCAGGGGCTGACATCACCACGAATGAGGTGGGGTCACCTGGGAAGCGGCGTGGATACAATACAAGCAAGGGTATTGGGAAGACAATCTGATGGACCAGTCTTCAAAGGTGGAGGGGGGTCAGGGCAGAGTGAGAGAGAACAGGCAGGGCTGCAGCAGAAGCCGTGTCCTCAAAAGTCACATAAAAAACAACTGTACGGCAGATGCCACCCACGCCAGGCAGAAGAGCCTGATGACAGGCGGAGGGAAGCGGACGCAACATATACAACAGACACAACAGGCAACGAGCAGCGTCCCAGAAGCAAAGAATTACAGGTCAGTGAGGAAACCAAGGTGACTCCAAAGGCAAGTGGGCAGCCACTTCATAGGAGGAAACCCGAACGCTGATTTATAAGGGGCGCCATGCCCCGCTGCCCAACCACGGAGCACATGCAACTTTATACGTCAACGAGGACCGTTTCACGTCCTCCAGAACGTCCACAGCACAATGTGTGACCACACCTAGTGCCGGCAAGGATGTGGGGCAGGGATGCCAGCGCACTGCCGGTGCGAACGCAAAGCCGCCATCATAGCTCTCTCGAGCAATCTGGCAACACGCAATCGAATTTAAAACAGCAATACCCTTCCAGCAAGGATGGACCTGAAAACGAAGCTGAGTGAAGGAAGCCAGGCACAAAGGGCGGATACTGTGATTTGATTCATATGAAATGTCCAGAATAGGCAAATCCATAGGGCCAGAAAGCTGGTTAGTGATGGCCAGGGGCTGGGGGGAGAGGGGAATCGGTAGCAAGTGCTAACGGGCACGGGGCCTCCTTTGGGGGTGATGAAAATGTTCTAAAATGGACTGTGGTGATGGCTGCCCAACGCTGAATATGCTAAAGCCCACAGAATTGTACACTTTAAAAGGATGAATTTTATGGTGCATGAATTACATCCCAATTAAAAAACAGACACCCTGCAGCCCAGCAATTGCACTGGGGTATATACCCTAGAGCTGGCCTGTGGACAACTCTTTTGGTAAATAAAGTTTTATTGACACACGGCTCTGCGCACTCATTTACATGCTGATCATGGCTGCTTCCGTGCTGCAATGGCAGAGCTGAGTAGCCGTGACAAAGACAAGTTATTCCTTCTCAGTAGTCAGAATGTCAACAAACCAAACCAAACCCACTGCCGTCGAGTCAATCCCGACTCCTAGCAAGCCTAGAGGACAGAGTAGAACTGCCCCACAGGGTTGTCAAGGCTGTAATCTTTACAGAAGCAGACTACCATGTCTTTCCCCCGAGGAGCGGCTGGTGAGTTCAAACCACTGACCTTTGGGTTAGCAGCCAAGCACTGTAGCCATGGTGCCACCAGGGCTCCTTAGTAAGAATGTGAGTGTTTGTTAAATTCTTTTCTATGATTTTTAAATTTCTCAAACTTAAGAAAAAAAAAAACATTTTTGGGGAAGCTACATTTGTTTGGCCTTCAAGTCAGGGGAGTGCCGCGACTGGCCTTGGGGGACTGTCGGGGAGGCCTCACCTGCTGGCTGCAGAGATCGCCCAGGAAGAACTGCACCTGGGGATTCTCGAAGTCTTGCCGGATATCGAAGACGTTGACGCTGTAGCCTGTTGCCAGCAACTGCTCCACCATGTACTGCCCGAGAAACCCAGAGCCTCCGATCACCGTGCATTTCTTGGCCTGTGGGAAAAGGAATGGCAGGGTGGAGTAGTGTGACAGCAACCCAGAGTCATCAAGAGCCAAAGCAGACGCGGCCGGAGCCACTGACACGGCGGGCCGGTTGGCTGGTTTGTTCCTTTTCAATGCTTCTTGAGCCTGAGCTGTGTGCAATTCTGGTGCTTAATGGCCAGGGGCGCTCTCCTCTCCCGGGATCAGTGAAAAGGGAAGAGACTCATTCTACTTGGGTTGGATTTGATGCCGCGTAGTTAGTGAAAGGAAAGGAGGCACCACAGAAAGAAATTCAATGACCTCTGATCTCAACTGGACAATCTATGAAAAAGCGATACCTTCTTGCTCCCGAGAGACAATTCCAGGGGCAGATTAGCCAATAAGCAAGGTAAGCACAGGCTTATGTGTGCTTACTTACTAATTTCTGGTGAACAATTTCACATGGGTTTCACCATGCCACATCAAAGTGAAACCCATGTGAAATTGTTCACTACAGACTAGTAAGTAAGCACAAGTAAGCCCCTGCTTACCTTGCTTACTGAGTCATCTCCCCCTCTCAGGGATTGTAAATTTGAAAAGAGGCCTTGATTCTGTAGGAAGGTGTTGTGGGGTGAAAAAATGTGAAATTGTTCATTACAGACTAGTAAGTAAGCACAAGTAAGCCCATGCTTACCTTGCTTACTGAGTCATCTGCCCCTGTCAGGGATTGTAAATTTGAAAAGAGGCTTTGATTCTGTAGGAAGGTGTTGTGGGGTGAAAAAATGTGGAATTGTTCATTACAGATTAGTAAGTAAGCACAAGTAAGCCCATGCTTACCTTGCTTATTGGATAATCTGCCAGTGGATGATCCCTGGGCACGTCTAAGGCAAATAATAATAATAAAATAAAAATTCCGCCCGCTGGCTAGCTGGAACTGAAAATGTCAGAAAGAAGAAAGCAAAGCGTAGTGTCTGCAGTCTCAGAAGAAAGGCAGCCCTTCGCCTCCCTGAGCATGGAGGGGCTGGGCTAGGTGGCACTGGCCTTGCCTACTGACCTGAGCCTGCGCTGCCGTCTGGGGGACTCCTGCAGGCGACAGTGAAGATCACCTGGCCCAGGGCGTGGCTCTCCCTCTCTGAGGATGTTAACAAGTCAGAGGAGAGCGATGGGTTTCCATTTCAGCCTATGCAACTGTCTTAGTCATCTACTGCTGCTATAACAGAAATACCACAAGTGGATGGCTTTAACAAAGAGAAATTTATTCTCTCACAGTCTAAGAGACTATAAGTCCGAATTCAGGGCGTCAGCTCCAAGGGAAGGCTTTCTCTCTCTGGAGGAAGGTCCTCGTCGTCATCAATCTTCCCCTGGACTAGAAGCTTCTTTGCACAGGAACCTCGGGTCCAAAGGACGCGCTCTGCTCCCAGCACTGCTTTCTTGCTAGTATGAGGTCCCCCGGTCTCTCTACTCGCTTCTCTCTTTTATATCACAAGAGATTGCCTCAAGACACAATCCAATCTTGTAGATTGAGTCCTGCCTCACTAACACAACTGCCACTATTCCCTACCTCATTTACATCATAGAGGCAGAATTTACAACATATAGGAAAATCACACAATACCAGGAATCATGGCCCAGCCAAACTGATACACACATTTTTAGGGGGACATAATTCAATCCATGACAGGAACACATGAAGGTTCTCAGCTCAACTCACTCTGGTAATTGGGGATAATGGAAGAACATTCTGCCTCTAGGAAGCCAATGCAAACTGTGGCTGTCCCATGCTGAATGAGCTGCTCCAAGTGTCCCCAGTGGGGGAACGGTGACATTCCTCCCTCCCCAGGGTCTGGCTTTCTTCCTTAAGATGCCAACCCCACATTTTCCTCAGCCTGTACACAGCCAGTGAAAGTCAGCAGCGTGGAAGCTGAAGATCATACAGAAATTCTGTTCCTGATTCAAAACCAACCAAACAAAACAAACCAAGCCCCCTGCTCATTCCTTAAGGAGCCCTGGTGGTTCAGTGGTTAAGCTCTTGGCTGCTAACTGAAAGGTGGGAGGTTCGAACCCACCAGTGGCTCCACGGGAGAAAAGACCTGGCAATCTGCTCATGTAAAGGCTACAGCCTAGGAAGCCCTATGGGACAGTTTCACTCCGTCATACAGGGTCGTTATGAGCTGGAATCAACTCGACGCCTTAAACACCTACACAATTAAGATATGTAGGAGTCTCAAGGGGTGTTGGGCCAGACACCTTCTACAGATGGTCTCCTCTCAATCTGGGTGTCCCATGTGGAATGGCCTTTTTGCTGTGGCAGCCACCAGTCCCTTCCAGAGATACACTATGACTTCAGCATCATTGGCGCACGCATAATCTAACTGACATAGTTGGCTGCACCATTCTCCCCTCCAAAACTATCTTTTCAACCCAACCTCTTCTACACTTTGTTCTGATGACTCCTACACGCACGTACTCAGATCGTGCTAAACAATCTGCACCTTCACTGAAATGTCCAGGACTTCCTTAGTGCATGCTTAATTAAGTGCAAAACTCCCACTCAGCCCCCTTCCCACGGTCCCTCTCTCCCCACCCCTCCCTGGCCCGAGTCGGGCCAACTGCAGTTACTGGGAGTAACTCGGAGCCTCCCTCCCTCCCTTCTCTCGGTGCAAGCAAAGTTTGGCGAGCCCAAAGCGGGTCACAGCTAGACATGTTTTCACAACATCCCCAGGGATTTCCAATTCTGTCTTGATATTAGAGCTGCCATCTCTAGTTACAGGTGTTTTCAAAAGACTGACAGTCTCCTTTTTCAACAAGGAAAGAACCTGGCAATTATGTTCAGTACAACTTCATTTCATGATTTTAAATGTGACTCATCGGTACTCCACTCTTAAGCAAAGTGATGTGGAGTCTTCCAGCACAGAGGAATGGTGTGCTAATATTGCTTGGGACAAGGGGACCTATGGCTCCTCCACAGTGTTGTAGAGTTGGGAATCGAACCAGCATTTCTCCCAGGGAAGTCCACTGTGCGAGGGGACAGTGTTCTTTAATTAGAGAAGATGGTATGAGATAGTGCAGGGGAAGTAGGGACAGAGGACAAGCAGAAGAGCTATTAACAGTTTAGAATCAAACTCCAGCCTGGAAATGGGTAGCAAGACTCCAGGTCGGGTTACTGAGGGAAGTTATAAAATCAATGTCATCTGATCTGGAGATAAAAGAGAATGGTCTGAGCCACCGGGCTCTCTTGAACATTTGTTTTGCTTTGTCTTTAGCAGTGGGACCGTTTTTGAAGGGAGGTCTTATACAGAACGTATATATGTTAAGATAAAAGTAATCTTTTTTTATTTTGATAGTTTAACTTTATGACTTTTACTTCTGATAAAGTCACTCGATGAGAAAGAACAAGGTTACGTTTGAAGAACACAAACATTTGAAACTGGATGACAATGGCAGTTTGCTCTAACCACTGGAATCGCCATCTTTGTTTGGTTGCTGAGTATCAATCTAAGATCCGAATTTACACAAATAAGGAATCTGGAATCACAAGTTAACCGTCCACTACACAGAGGTCCCAAAGGAGGCTACTCTCTGTTTAACATCAAAAACAGGGATCGGGGCGTTCCGGCAAAATGGCGCTCTAGGCAGAAGCACCACACCGTCCCTCCACAGCAAAGATCCGAAAAACTAAGCCAAACAGAGAAAACAGCAATCCTGAAACCCTAAACATCAAATGAAGAGATAAAGAACTCAGCCAAGCACCAAATAGAGTGAGAAAACTGACAGAGAACGGAGAGCAAGGAGAGATTCATGCAGAGGTCCCCTACTGGCTAACACAGCGCGGATCCGCCATCTTGGACTCCTATCGGAGACCAGCAAACAGGGCGTACGAGAAAGCAGCCTCACTGAGTGTCCAGCGGGAGACAAAACAACCGGTAACTTGCGATATATGCTTTCCCACACCCCACCCTTCTTCACCCCGACTCGGCCTCCTCTGCTTCCCACGGCCACAATCTCTTGACCTGGAAACACCGGCTGCTTGGATTCCATACACCCGAACGGGCCGGCTCTCTGAGTGCCATTTGTTGGCTGCTGGTGTTGCTTTTTTCCGCTTCTTTTGATTTCTTCCTTACCTCTCACCACCTCTCCCTCCTTTCACTCAAATACCAGGCTCCGTGTGCCACCTTTGCTTCTTCCTGAGGGGCTGCAGAGCTCTGGTAATTTGTGATATACGCTTTCCCACTCTACCCTTCTTCACCCACACTCAGCCTCCTCTGCTTCCCGCAGACACAGTCTCTTGTCGAGAAACACCAGCCCGCACTAGCTGGCTCTCTGAGTGCCATTTGTTGGCTGCTAGTGTTGCTTTTTTTCCTGCTTCTTTTGATTTCTTCCTTACCTCTAACCACCTCCCCCTCCTTTCGCTCAAATACCTGGCTCCGTGGACCATCTTTGCTTCTTCCTGAGGGGCTGTGGGGCTCCATTCGGGTGTGGAGCTGCTTCCTGGTCCGGGCTGCCACACTGGTGGGATCCCGGGGCTTTTGTTCGTTTGTTTGTTTTGAATTGTTTGTTTGTTTTCTTTTCCTTTTCTTAAGTTGGGAGCCCCTTCTGGCCAGGCAGTGCTGCGTGGCAAGGAGACTTCCATCTCGGCTTGCACAGACAAGCAGAGGGATCCCTGAGGGCATTTCTTTTTTCATTGTTTTTTTTTCCTTCTGTTTTTTTGGGGGCCTTTGTTGTTCTTTTTTATAATTTTATTTTTTAATTTGTTTTGTTGTCTTTTCCCTTTTTTTCCCTTTTTGTCCTTCTTCATTGCTCAGTTTCTCGTCTCTCTATATCTTCCTTCTCTTTCTGTTCCCTGAATACCTGGCATTGTATACCTCTACGCCTTATAGCCAGGCTGTACTGCAACACCTGAGAGCAACTTCCCCAAACCTCACAGCTGCATCGGTGGGATCCCTCGGAACTTTGCGGTTCTATAACCTTTCTGATTTTTATTTATTCATTCTTTTCTTTTCTTCCTCTTCCCCTTTCTGTTTTTCTCCATTTCATAGTCTCTCATCTCTCCACTCCAACGGCAAGCTCCCCTAGCATTCTTTTTTGTTTGTTTGTATGTTTTTGGCTCCTGTTCCTCTCTCTCGTCTCTCCCATATCCATCTTAGCGCCACACATAACGACCTCCCGCTGCATCCTGCCTACCTGCACCGTGCACTTGACATCACACCACCAAGCAGCACAGGCACGGCCGACTGGAACCTGCCCTGCACTGATTACCGACCCGCTCTGGTGGC